ATCAGTGTAATCCAGAGGATTAAAGAGGAAACTGGAAGGGTGCAAAGAAGAAAGAGCCAATGATACTGCTAAGTCAAATCCTATGGAAGCTAGCATATCTGATATGGAGTATCTACTATGTCTCATCTATCATGCTAGGTAAGCAATTTATATATTCAATTTATTTAATACTTGTAACAACCCTACGAACTAAGAAAAACTGAGGTTTAAAAAGCATACCTAACTTGCACAAGTGACACAGCTGGAGCTGGGATTTGAACCCAGGTCTATCTGACTGTGGAGACTAAGCTCTGGGAGAAGATACCTAAGATATAAGAAACTGAAAGAGTAGGAAGTGAGGGGTGAATCAGCTGCATGGATACCGGTTGTATGCATCTCCTTTATCCCATCCCAACAAGTCCTTTCTCCTTCCTCTGCCCATGGCCCTAACATTTACTTGGACATCCACCCGACCTCACTCAGTCCCTGTGGTCTGGTTCTCAGAAGTGAAGCATGTATCCCAGGCCTGTGCCAATCAGCAAGTGCGTTCCCTGGCCACGGTACATGGTTTAAGGTATAAATGTGATGTACACCTCTCTAAACAGAATGGATCCCATTCTTCTGGACAAGACTCTGGCTCTTTCTTGCTGGACTTTAATCTGGATGACATGAGTCTGGGGCTACTGTAGCTACCTTGCCACCAGATCCTAGATATGCCAGGGACCTCCACGTGGAGTTTAAGAATTAATCCAACCCAGAGGTGGGCAGAACCCAGAGCCTGAGAAAACGACTTGTCATGATACTGTCTGAGCCGTGAACCCAGCTGTTTCTTTATGTTTTTTTTTTTTTTTTGGAAGATTAGCTCTGAGCTAACATCTGCCGCCAATCCTCCTCTTTTTGCTGAGGAAGGCTGGCTCTGAGCTAACATCTGTGCCCATCTTCCTCTATTTTATATGTGGGACGCCTGCCACAGCATGGCTTGATAAGCGGTGCAAAGGTCCACACCTGGGATCTGAACTGGCAAACCCTGGGCCACTGAAGCAGAGTGCAAGCACTTAACCACTAGGCCACTGGGCCGACCCCTCCAGCTGTTTCTAAAGCAAGATCTATCCTGAACTTTTCAGTGGCATGAATCAATAAGTCCCCTCCTTTTTAAGGTAAATTTCTCTGTATTTTCTGCTATGTGTAATCAGGAGTCCTAATATGCCACATTCATAAAGAAAGCATCTGCCTATAAGAAAGAATAGAAGCATTTGGGCGAGAATCATGGAGGGGAGAGAACGAAGCGCTACTATTGGGGCCACCCACGTAACAGAGATGGAGGTTTCGGATGCAGATCACCAAACTGGAGGAGAGAGAAGACTCAGTGCTGCCTGGTGAATAATTCCCACCAACCAAACTTCTGAACATCTTATTCTGGAAAAACAGAACATTTAATAAGTCTGGATTTGCTTGGCTGACAATTTCATCTCTCAGAAAGTTAAGAGAAAATGCTATTCTGACTTTATTCTGATTCAGAAGGTAGAACAATTTGTGTTTTTTTTTAAAAAAGGAAGGAACCTTGGGCAAACATGATTATGGGATTTTAAGAGTTTGGGGCCGGCCCCATGGCTGAGTGGTTAAGTTTGCATGCTCTGCTTTGGCGGCCCAGGGTTTCGCAGGTTCAGATCCTGGGCACGGACATGGCACCGCTCATCAGGCCATGCTGAGGCGGTTCCCACATGCCACAACTAGAAGGACCCACAACTAAAAATATACAACTATGTACTGGGGGGATTTGGGAGAAAAAACAGAAACAAACAAACAAAAAAGAAGATTGGCAACAGTTGTTAACTCAGGTGCCAATCTTTAAAAAAAAAACCCTTAATTAAAAAAAAAGTTTATAAGAGCATAATAAGAACAAATTTTTAAAGTTCAGAGAAAATCTAGGGATGAGACAATGGCCTGAGACCCCACAAGGGAAGGCAGCCCAATAACAAAGGATGGAGCCCTTCCAAGACCAAAATCTGACAGATAAAGTAAAAAATATCCAAATCTTGGGTAGCAAATTAATCCTGAATGGTTCAAGGCAGACATCATTTATCAATCACAGCACTTTTTCCTGTTAAGCCCAATCTCCTTCTGAAGTTATCTCTGACCCAGTGGCCTACTCAGCCATGATGAATTAAGCAAAGTTGGGACACAAGAATGAACCCACTTGCCATTGCTGATCTAAAGAAACCAGTGTAACAGCACAGGGAGCTCTCAAAGCTCAAGTTATAAAAGGACATGCACAAGAAATGGAAGCTGGGGCACAAAATCAAGCACAAATCCTCAGTGGAATGGGCCTACATGAATGATGGCAAAAAGGGTGAAGTCTAGAAGGAGCTGAGGGTTGTTTATTTAATGCAAAGCACAACAAAAATAAAGTTTCTATTTTTCTAATATTAAAATAAAGGAGGGGAGGGCTTTAAAAAACGTGAAATACAAGTGTCTCTGGTTGGGGAAGATGACAGCATAAATAAAGCTCAGTTTTCCAACTTCTGGATTTAATTCCATATCTTCATCAAAAGAATGATTCACCATGAAAAGGAGAACAACCGTGGTTAAGAGACCCAAAGTTCAAGATGGGGAAGACAGTGGGAAAGGCCTAGCCATCAGCACCCCAGGCCCCTACAGGAACTTGGAGACAGGCTCAAGGAACCTCCCGGGTTATCTCTGAGGAATCAAAGAGAACAGGGAAAATGCCAGATATTGGAGACTGGCAAACAGCATCCTGATTTTCAAAAGAGGAGAAAAACTGATTCCATTAACCACAAGACTGGAGTGCCTACCACTAACCTCTGCAAGAGGCTGAGCTACATTCTTAACCTGGCAGATTGCAGAGAACGTAGGAAGGGAAGCACCACGAAAGGCAAACAACTCAGTAGAAAAATGGGCAGAGGATGGAGACAGGCAATTCCCTGAAGAGGAAATACAAGTGGCCAGTAAACAAAAAGACCCCATCATTGTGGACATACACATTAAAATAACCAGATGCTATTTATCTAAACAGTGGCTCAGCAGAAATTAAAAGGATTGATAACATCAACAGTGGGCAAAGATGTGGGGAAATGAGCACTCTCACTGATGGAATATACAGCTTTCTTTAAAGGGCAATTTGGTGGTGTTGGTTAAAACTAAAAATGCATTGTATTTTGACCCAGCAATCTGAAAGACTCATATATGCAAAGGCTTGTAGAAGGTTTTTCATTACAGGACGATTTATAACAGTAAAAGATTAGAAAATATAAAACTATCCAAGGTTTGGCACATGCTTAAATACATTATGGTGCATCTACACTATGAAATACCATATAGCAAAAATAAAGTCAATCCATATACATAGGTATAGAATGATTTTCAAGATGTCATTATCCATGTTTTAAAAAAGCACAAAAGAAACCTCTGTGTTTACTAAGTGCATATATGTATATAAATGAATAGAAAATAGTTTAAAAGAATCCTCATTAGCCTGATAACAGAGATTACCCTGGGAACGTGATTAAGGAACTCTCTGTCTTTACTTTTTGCATTTTTTATAATAAGAATTTCTTTACTGTATAATTAAATAAACATATATTTTTAAAAGAATGAAAAAACAAAGACTAGGAAATGGTGAGCATTTCCACAGCACGTGCACTAGGAGTGTCAAACCCACCCCATGTTCTCCTGGAATGATGAAGGAAATGAGAAAGTCACTATGAACAGAGTGCCCACAGGCTAAAGGCACAGCCTTTCATGTCATCATCTTGGACACGATAGCAAAATTCAGGCTGGATGACAACGCTAGGAGGTAGAGCCGAACTCGACTGAATACCTGTAGTTAAGTGTTACTGATTCAGGGCCCATGTGGAAACTGCCAGGACAGTCTTTGTTCCTGTCCTGTCTTCAATCTCTTACTCGCTCACTTCACAGACATTTGAGAGCTTACCATGTGTCGGATGTTGTGCAGAAGATACAAGACAGTCCCTGCCTGAAGCCTAGGAAACTGAAAAGTAGACAGAAGGGAAAAAACGACGTGACGAATGCTTGACTGAAGTGGTATGGAAGCTCCAGAGGGTAGGGCCGGACCCCAATCTGGCCTCTTAAAGGAGGTCACTATCTATATCAAAAGTCAGCTAGCCTCAAAAAACAAAGCATGAAGCTAGGAAGTACCACTAATACCAAAAAATCACATACACACGAGATGGGAAAGGCTGACGAGCTAAAACACACCATGTGAAATTCAACTGCAATCACTGAAAATTCCTGCCTTTAGGTTGCTGGAGGATATCCTTTTGTTCTGAGGCCTCACTAAAAGACCACTGTCACAGAGGTTCCTGAGCAGAGCAAGGTGCCCAGACAGCGAAGAACAGGGCCCATGTGAGATGAGGACTGGCTAAAGGCACACCCTGACTTTTCTGGGGCTACCCTACCCTGTCCAAGCCCGACTCCACTCATATTCCTCCTCTGCTTTCTCTCAGGGAATCTCCCACAGCCAGCAGACTCAGGAATCTCAAGATCCCTGAGTGTACCCTTGGTTTGCCCACTTGAGGGAAGAGGCAGCTGGAAGATAGGTCAGCCCCTGGGAACATGGTGACACACGTTCAGTCTGCAAGATCTTTCTTGCCTGTCCCCTTCCTCCTCCCCAATCTGGTGCCCCAAGGTTGTCCCTTCCACCAGCACAAGAGAAGAAAAACTGAGAAACACACACACCAGGTGCCAAGGCTGCATATCCCTGGCTGTCATTTCACCCTCAAGGCCTTCATGTTTCTCTGTTTAATGTGGACAGTGGACTGGATAACTTCTGGGGACCTTCCAGCTCAGACAGCCAACATATGTTAGCCATGTATGCATTCTCCTCCCAGAAGAATTCATTGTTAAAAAGGACTTCAAAAACAGGGCAATACTTAACACGAGTGAATGAATGGTGGAATGTGGGGCACCCAAGAGTTCTTATTTGGGTCCCCATCCTAGTGTAGGAGGTGCTCCGACAGAGACCCTCCTCCATTGGGACTGACCTCTTCAGTGACGATCGAGACAGCACCTGTGCAGCCTGGTTCATGGCCCTGACCCACGCATTCATGTCCTCTTGGGTGTCGGCACTGAAGTAGTAGGTCCTCATGCCCGACTGCTCGGCCGGAGAGCCCCCCGTGGAGCTATTGTAGATGAGCGCTCGCATCCCCGTGTGCACGGCCTGTAAGCAAGAGACGGAAACCAAGGTCAGAGAAGTCACCACGCATTCCACGTCCAGGAGCAAAAACAAGGAGCAACTCTGGCCAGGTTCTCCCCTCTTCCAGACTAAGAGCCCAGCACCACTCGGCTTGTTCCCACACCTGGATTCCCCTTTCCCAGTGCGGTCGGGCCCAGTGGTGGCTGTGTCTGCTCCACACAGGGGAAGCCCTGCAGCTATACCCCCTTCCCACTTCTCTCACTCTGTGTAGGGAGGGGCACACCGTCAAGGCATGTGAGAAAGAGACTTTAAAAAAACCCTCATTCCGTGGAAGCAGACTCTCGGGAATCCCTGTTTTGGTTCTTCTGAAGCACGCGATTACTGGAATTGAGTCAAAAATCAGCTGCAACAGCAGGTGGCTTGGTGCAGATATTTACTGTTCTTCCCTGCTTGGGCATGAAATGTGATGTGTGCCCATCAAAGACGCCGCGGCTCTGTCTCTCCAAAGCGGCACCAAGTCTGACAGAGCCAACATTTGACTGAAAATCCTTGCACACCCACTATGTGCTGGGAAGCCTCAAGGTGCTTTCACATGTGTCCTTGCCAAGAGCCTGTGAAGTAGTACTGGGAATGCCCACTGGAAACCAACTGGGATGATTTGCAAACAAGAAGCAACACCAGTTTTTCCACTTGTGCTCTGATAAGCAGGGGCCTGCCTTTTAAACCTGCAAGGAAAAACTTCACCAAATCCACATAGGAAGATGGTATAAAAAGAGGAAGATTTACTGAGTCTCTACTATGTGTCTCCTGGATACTTCCATACCTTTAACCTCATTTTAATCCAAACAGCCTGGAAAGGTAGGGATAGAATCTCTGTTTTACAGACGTGGAAAATGAAGGTCTGAGATATTAAGTAACTTTCCCAGATTTCCACACCTGGTAAGAGGTTCTTTATGGCACTTACCATTACCTGGCATCACTTCTTTTACATACTTGTTTATCATCTGTCTCCTCTTTCTAGAACATAAACTCCATGAGAGCAGATTCTAGGTCTATTTTGTTCACTACTGTATCCCCAGAAATAGTGCCTGGCACATAGTAGGTCTTCAAGAAATATGTGTCAAATGAATGAAGAGTTGCAGCCAGGACTCACACCCAGGTCTGTCTGACTCTGAGCCCAAACTTCTCCATATGATGCTCCCAGGTCCTATCCACAAATGAGTGTGATTGTTCAGATCATTGGTCTGATCATCTGGATCCAGAATGAAAGGCAGACCTCATGAAGGACCAGTCAGAGACAACAGGAGAGAAGCAATTAGAAGCCGGAAAATGACATGCTTCTAGAATCACTAGTGGCAATGGACGAAACCTCTCAGATGAACTGTCAGCATTTATTTCTCCTCCCCACTGCTAACATCCAGGTCCAAAATGCACATTAAATATGGGCCTGCTTCTGACATTCACATACCCGAATCCAGCCAGCCAGGTGCCAAGGGAGTACAGCAAACTTGGCCTGTAGCTACAGTGACCCAAGTAAACCTGATTTCCTTCCTTGCACGTATAAGGGGTCATCCACTGTCCCAGGAAGGATCCCTCCTATGTTAGCAAGGTGGAGATGCGGCAATAAGAACAGAATGAGGAGAGGTTTGTGCATGTCTTACTGTGAATCAGCAGACATTCTTGGAAAAGTTCCCTTGGATGATGACCCTATAAGATCTCTGATACCCTTCCCAGACTTTCTGCCCAGGCACAGAGGGTTCTGGGACATGCACTTGCCCCACCAGACACAAGGCCAGTCACAAGTGTAGGGAGCCCCCAAGGGCATGAGAGAGCAGCTCCCTGCTGTACAAGAGTTCATGGAGCCAGCTTTGTCCAGGAAATCAACATGGGACACACTTTAAACATGGAGAGTTTCCATGTCTGTCTGAAAATGGGCTGTGGGAGTTAGATCCATCATTACAAAGGAGTTACACACGGTCACACACATAACCTCAGTCACTAATCAAACTGCCAGCACGTGCTGTACCCAGCTGCCCTTGGCTCTGAAGAAGAGGTTCCCAACCACATTCTGCCTGTGCTTGGGGATATTAGATGTACTAACTGTGAAGGCAAGAAGTACAGGGAGGTCCCTTTCCATCAGGCCAAGTGACCAAGTCCAATGCACCCTGAACCTGAGGAAGATGCCAGAGCCAGGAAGTGAAGTCTTCTCCCGCCTGCTCTAGTCTCACCTCAAAGATGCTCCCCTCCCCTCTGCTCCTGGCTTCCCAATTAACATAATCCTACCATGCAACTCTGCACGACTGAACAGAAACCAGGCTCTGCCCAAAGGAAACGAGTACGTGAACAAGGACGAGTTTACCTCAAAAACAGAACATCCCCAGGATACGACTGCTCTCCTGGCTCTTATGACTCAGGTCTTGATACGGAACTAGTGAAGGCAGCCAGAATGCTCACACCTCAAGCCCCCAGTGTCAGCCTTTGTAACAGAGACGTCAAAGGTGAGGAAATACAGAAGCAACGAAAAAGCCAGGGCCCATCAACTGACTGCTTCATTCTCTCACTTATTCGTTCAACAACAATTTATCATTTGTTGAGTGTTTATGTAAAAGGCACTGAACTAGAAGTTGAAGGGACAGCCTTAAATAAGGTCAAGACAGTTTACAGCAAAGCAGAAGAGAAAGACCATGGACAAGTAACTACAATTGCAGTAAGTGTCACTGAGAAGTTCAGGATGCTGTGAGAGAGGGTAACAGGGGCACCTGGCCTCACCTGGAGAAGGGCGTACCTACAGAAATGACATTTCAGCTGCCTCCTACACAAAGCAGGCATTTTAGTAGGAGTAGCATAGAGGGGACATGTGGGACCCCAAGATGGACAAGAGGACAGAATGTTTCAAGGATGAGGCCAGCATGACAGGCACAGAGAAACAGAGGAGAGAGCAGGATAAAATGAGGCCACTGGAGTTGGCAGGACCAGATCACTGGAGCCTTGTGGTCATGTTAGGGTTTTGTTTCATTTACAAGAGCAATGAGAAGCTATTAAAGGGTTTAAGCCAGGGGATGATGTGTCCAGATTTTGTTTGGGAAAACCACCCTGGGTGCAGAATGGAGAAGAGGTTCGAGCTGGGCAGGGGCAGGTGAGGGGATAGGGGTCTGAAGGCCACTTCAGGAGTGCAGGTGGGAGATGGTGGTAGGGGCAGAGAAGGAGAGGAGTGGACGGAGGCTGGAGAGAACAAGCAGGGAATATCAGGAGGACCCGGCGATGGACTGGATGGATGTGAGAGGTAAGGGAACAGGAATTGTCAAGGATAAAACTCTTGGGTTTATGACTCACACAGACAGTGGTGCTCATCAGTGGAGACTAAGAAAGGAACTCCTCATGTCCAAGCTTTGGTCTACGAGCAGCTCAGTGAACTACGTGAGAACTCAGGCTCTTAGAATCACCCTGAGGTCCACGGCAGGCTCTGCCTCTTACCCCAGGGTAACCCTGGGCAAACTGCTCAACCTCCCCTGCCTGTTTCCTCATCTTTAAAGTGGACTGTGGGTAACAAAAGCATTCACCTTGTAGGGCAAGGTGAGGATTAAATGAGATAATGCACATACCGTGCTTACAGCACAGCCTGCCATTTGTAAGTTCAAAAGATGTTAGTTGATATTATTATAGGAGCAGTCACTTGAGTAACCTAACGTGGTCGACTGAATGAGCTTTCTAGAAACTTTAAAAGACTCTTCTCTGCCCTCTCTCTCATCACTAATTTATGACTAAAGATGAACTACAAGTAAGCCTGAATCTATCATAACTTGGGAAGTGGAAGCAGCGTCACTGACCACGACTCCTGCTACAAAGGATCGCTCCACGTGGTCTCTGTTTGCAGAACAGGACTGGTCCAATCTACCCAGGCAGAACTAGCTGATGGGCTAGTTTCCCTGGTGAAAGCTCTGAATGAATAAATCAACCATTTACAGTGCAGTGAGACAAGAGCTGTGGATGTACAGAAGAAGGGTACCTAACCTGTCTGGAGGACTCAGGGAAGGCTTCCCAGAGGAGGTGACTCCTGAGTAGAGACCTGAAGGACAATAAGAGTTGAGGGAAGGGCATTCTGGGCTGTGGCTGAAGCTCAAGCAAAGGCCTATGGGCAAGAAATGTCCTGGGGCCTTTAGGCAACTGTACATGGCTAGAGGGAAAGTGTAAGATGGGAGTAGCTAAAAATGTGGCTGGAGAGAGAAGCTGCGGTCTTGTAACCCAAGACTGGGCTTTATCCTGTAGGCCACGGGGAGCCACTGAAGGGTTTATGGTGGGAGTACAACCTGAACAGATGTACAATTTAGGAAGAGTGTGGAGGATGGACTAGAGGCTACAGGAATTCGAAGGCCAAGGAAGTGATGCCAACACTTACAGGGCACTTCCTGTGTGCTAAGCACTGTTCTGGCAGTTAGCTAGTTACCCAGGGGAGGGATGACAGCAGCCAAGCCAGAAGAGGGACTGCAGCAGTGGCAAGAGGAGATGGATTTGAGATACACAGAGCACAGAATCAAAATGGGAGAGGAAAGGGCAACTCTCTCCTGTTCTCCTCTAATCCCCTAATAACCGGTCTGCTGATGCCAGCTCTAGAAGATACCTCATGGAGCCAAGGACTCTGTCCTTTCTATTGTTGTATCCCCAGCATCTGCATCCTGCCAAGTAGAACCCCAGGGCGCAGTAAAAGTGTGTGAGTATCAATCAGTGAAACCCACGTCTCTTGGCTGACCTTCAGTCAGAATCTAGAGCAGGGGGTCTTAACCTTTCGGGGCCATAAACCCTCTGACAGTTTGGTGAGTCTTATGAACTCTTATCACAATTTTTTTTTTTTTTTAAGACTGGCACCTGAGCTAACGCCTCTTGCCTATCTTTTTCTTTTTCTTCTCCCTAGCCCCCCAGTACATAGTTGTCTATTCCAGCTGCAAGTCCTTCTGGTTGTGCTACGTGGGATGCCACCTCAGCATGGCCTGATAAGCGATGCCATGTCTGTGCCCAGGAACCGAACTGGCGAAACCCTGGGCCACGAAAGCGGAGTGCATAAACTTAACTGGGCACGGGTCCGGCCCCTCAGAATGTTTTTAAGTGTGCAGATAAATATATTACATTGAAATATAGTTATCAAAATATTTTGGAATGTTGTGATACAGGGATAAATGTGCTTCTTTAATAAGGCATTATACAGCAAATGCGGTGGTAACTACTGTAATTTCAAAGTGGTGATGAGCCTAAATGATATTTCAAGATAGTTACACCAACTCTGATGTGACATAAAGGTCTCTCTGGTTTCTACTGGTGACCAGCACACAGGTGCTGCTGATACCTGTTGTTTCCTGCTTCTTAATCAAAGAAAATGTTCTCAGTTAAAAAAGGAAAGATGCGATTGATCCACTGACATTTGGGGGTCTGCAGACCTCAGGTCAGGAACACTTGAGAGGGAAAACGGCTCACACGAGGCAGCAACAGCTTCTTCCCCACTGAAGATCCCTGGACCCTCGGCTGCATGGGGATGTTTTCTGCTCCAGATCCTGGATCTGAGGGGCCAAGCTTGCCCAGAGGTGACCAATAGGCTGGGGGTGGCTGTGCATCCAACAGGAGCTCTTTGGGGAGGCCAAAAGTGAGCCAGCAGAGCACGAAAGCCTGCTGGTCAGGGTAGGGCAGAATGCATCCTAGAGGCACCGAGAGCCTTGCTTGGCTCATCCTGCAGAACTGGCTGTGCCTCAGGGTCTATCTAGCACCCAGCCTCCCTGGTAATGCATAGGGGCGGCCAGGCTGCAGGCACAGTTGGAAAAGAAAGAATGAGGAGACCATATGACCTTTCTAGCTATATCTAGCAATACAGATACTCTGAACAATCTCAGGTAAGGTGCCCTAGTGACAGTCAGACACTTTTGGCTCTGGAAACAGAGAAGAACTGACATCAGAGGCAGGCATGAGGCCCAGGACACAAAACACTGCTTCCTCAGTTTGCTCAAGAACATGGATCCTGAACTGCCCAAAGGGCCCACTCTCACCACTAAAAAGAATGCTGCTGCAACCCAAAGAGAAAGGGAAGTCTTTCACACCCAGGAAAGGACAGCCCCTTCTAGAGAACCAGCTGAACACCACCAGATCTGTCTGCAGCAGCTTTTCTCTGCTCCCAGACCCTGAGGATTCCCCCAAAGAGCCCCCAATGCATGCCTTTTGTCTCCCAGACAAAAGATTTAGGGAACGCTCTTGGTGAAGCCTTTCTAAGAAAAATTTTTTTAAAAAAGGAAAGAATCTACGACACATAAAAGATGTTTTCCTAGAATCTATTTTCACACCTCCCAAAGAAGTATCAAGAAGAAGTATATATAGCTATGATCAGTTACTTTGAGGATATTCCAAATGCTGTCCCGAAAAATCACACACGACATCGTTAACCCAATCGTTTGCCCAGTAGCAACGCTTAACCCTAGAAAGGAAGGTTTTGTGAAGAAGACTTTCAGGCTGCGAAAAACCAGTCTGAAACCATTGAACAAAATGTTTTCAGAGCCAGCAATAAGCAGGAGAAGCTCATGAACTATTAAGCAGAAAATGATAACAATCAACATTAATTCAAACCACCTCCTGTAATATACAGGAGGTGACCAAAATAAGACGTGGAAGAAAAGCAGAGGAAGAGAAAGAAACTGTCCTCCCTCCCTGTACTGCAATTGAAAGAAGACAGAGTTCAGGGTGGAGTTCTGTCTCCATCATCTTCCAGCTCCCTGACTTTGGGCAAGTTTCTTAAGCTCTCTGATCCTTGTTTTCCTAATCCATAAAGTGAAGCTAATAATACTGACCTCACAGGCACCTCACAAGCATTAAATGAGGTAACACGGATAGAAGTACTTCTCAAATCACAAAAGGTCTTATAGCTATAAGACAATCCTATATCACACAACATGACGTGGGGGAGGATCCCAAAATCTTCAACCCAAAGCAAGTCTGGAGTCACTGGGGACAGTGACAGTCGAGAGAAAGAGAAGTACAGCTCAAACCTGTCGATTAACAAAGCTGAAGAACCAGCTCAGGAAGGAAAGGCAGGAGGAAGATGACACTGACTTTCCCAGCACCACCACCACAAGGGACTCCAGATCAAGACACGGATGCAGACCATGCTTTCCTGATGCTGTGGACACTGCATACCAACGCTTTTCTTTAACCCTTCCAGAGAACGGTGGGTGTCTTATCTTGTGCTTTTCCATGCTCCTTTAACTATCTATGATGGGAGAACTTGACTTCTGTTCAACCTCTGCTTTGGTACCTACTGTCTAGTGCTCATCTTGTACTCCCGACATGGGAAAAGCCAAGCTACATGAATAGTGGGGGAAGGAGCCCTTACCCCAGCTTGAAATGCATGTCACTGTCTCGTATCCTGAGCAGCATGAGAGGGTGTTTCTCCATGGCTACTGGCGCCAAGGGCCACTTGTTTCAGTGCTCTCTGAGACTTCCACTCCAAATGCCAGCAAAGTGCACCTTCAACCCAACCCATCCTCACCATCCCTAGGGGACCCACGAAACAGTAGCAGTGAAGAAAATGTGTGGAGGCCACCAAAGGAGACGGCCTCAGGATTCCCCAAGTATGGGCCTGACCGCTGCCTTCCCAGAGCCTCCACACCAGCTTCAAAGATGCCAGAGGGTGTCAAAGGACTGCCACCATTATCACGCCCACTCACTCAAATGGCACAGTGACAAACGAAGTAAAAAAGGGGTTTTACTGGTGAAGGGATTTCCCTGGGAATTTTCAATGATCCAGAAGATAAACCAAATTTTATTCTAATTGCTTTTCAACAAGACAAGGCAAGTGGGCAAACCTGAAAACCTCTTCAACACGCAGGCCCCTAACCCTCAAAGTAAGTTTTCACACTATAATTGATATAAGTCTCTTATGAGGGACCATCGTTTGCACTAAGTGGTTGGATACTAGTTAGACTGGCTGATGGCAGTGATAAGACAGCAGGAGAAGGGCTGTGTCCGACATGTAATCACAGGGCTAGCAGAGATAGGTAAGGGGGGTCTAAATACTTCAGCAAGGCTAGGGGACTCAAAAGCTCAGAGACGAACGGAAGTACTTGTGATGTGACACAATTCTTGTTTAAAGAAATCTATAAATTTGTTAAAATGAGCCTGAAACACTTTAGCTTCTTAACGTCTCCATCCCCATAAAAACAATTGCTTTTCTGAAGCCACTTCTGGGAAAACACAGTTTCTTAGGACGGGATTGCTACACTAGAGGAGAGGGGCAGTACCTTAAAGGAATACTTGCGACTTATGCGATCCTCAGGGGCCACGGGCGAGATCACGTAGCTGGGCAGAGGGATGCTCCCAAGGACCACTTCTTCTCGGCTGTCTTTGAATGGAAAAACACATCAGAAGAGCCTTCTGTGGCACCCTCCTTGGGCTGGTCCATCCCACTGCCCTAGTTCAGGACTCCTTCTCTCTCCCCAGGATTACTGCAATCACTGATCGGCCATTCAGCTAATGCTGGAACCACACAGGTGAATGAGACAGGGCCCTCTCCCTGAGGGTGGAGACAGGCATGTAAACAGGCTCAACTCAGCTGCTAACTCCTGGAATACAACAGTATACCAAGTGCTGTGGGAACACAGAGGCAGGAGTGGCACACAGTCTGGGGAAGTTGAGAAGGCTTCAGAAGGGGAGATCTAAAGTGTTTTAATGGATGGGGAAGGGCATTCTGAGTGGAGCAAACCTCACAGGTAAAGTTACAGCCTGTGTGAAATATCCTACCTTCTACATCCATTTCTTTCCTCCTCCAAACCATCTTCATTACCAGAGGTAACTTCCTAACAACAGAGTTGGTCCTGTCGCTCTCCTACCAAAGGCACTTGCTGACTGCCCACTAGGTACAGAACGAACCCCAACTTCCTCTGCGTGGTGTCACAGCCCTTTCAAACTCTGGCCCTTACCCACCTCCTGAGCCTTATCTCCTAGGACATCCTCCATGCAAGACTCACTCTGGCTTCGCAGGTCTGTCATTCCATTTACTTCTGCTTCCAGAACTTTACTCGTTGTTTTCTCTGCTTGTAATGCCTATCTCCCCCATACACACAGGTAAAGTTCTACTCATCCTTAAAAGCCCAACTCAAATCCCATCTCTTCTAAGAAGCCTCCCCAGATTCTCCAATACAGAATTAACTTCTTGCTCCCCATGAACTGCCTAAACACTTTGGACGTCTTAAAGCATCTATCACAGCCTAGTCTTGCCTTAAAAGTAAGCTATCTCTTCCTTGGTATCTTGAGCCTTACCTCCTTCTCACGATTGTGCAGCCCCTAACTCTGTACTGGGCCCCATAAATGTCCATGTGGCCAAGTCAATTCACCAGTTGCCCATCCAATATCACAGGGCATAAATCCAGATACTAGGTTACAAAATACATTGATTTACCTATACTTCCCTCCTCTCCGGATTGTGTCAAAGGTGTGCCTATGTCCCAAGTGGGGCAGAAGCTATTTTAGTTATTTTAACTCAACAAATGGCACTCTCAATGTCAGGACTGGTAAAAATAATCAATCATGCACATGTGTAAAAGTGAACACTTTGGCAGGTCAATAGGTTATTAATTAGCTCATGCCATTGGTCCAATCACTGGATTTGAGAAGACCATCATTTGCATTACTTTACCAACCCCCTCCAGCATAAACAGCCCTTGGTGGCCTGAGCCTTGGCTCACCTTTGTAGTAAAACAAGCAATAATCAGCAAGCACAAACCACCTCCTCTTCCACAGCCTCATCCCAGAACTGTCCTGCAAAGCAAAGAAAACAAATTAGGGCAATATCTGAGCACACTGTCCCCGCTCCCCAATCATTACAACCTGATTGTGGAACCAACACTTGCCCATATTCACTTTCTGTAAATTAGTGAATTTTTATTGCACAACCATTCTTTGAATAGGACACTAAAATTTAGTTTCAATGATGGTTTATCCCCAGGAAGTTTCTTCTCTTTCCTGAAAACACATGAATATATTATAAGCATCCTTCTTTTAGAGAGGAAGACGTGAACTCAAAAGTACAATTCTTCCGTTAAGAAAGAAATCAGCTTTTGACAAAAAGGAAATTATTGGTTGATTGATTTAGGTGCTATATTTTAAAATACCTTCACTTAATGTTGAGTAGAAAGTTGATTTTCATACTTTGGAACAAAGAGTTTAAGTTAGCTAATTAATCAATGAGGCAAAATTCTCATTTGGCTAAGTTCAGTTCTCTACATTGAGGGACTGATTTTGCTGTGTGTTTTCCTTCCATTCAATGTAAAGAGACTTGGATTTTCTTCCTATCAAACTGTCTCACAAGAATCTGTCTTTACTCATCTAAAATGTAAATCATTATACTTGTTAAAAACATTTTAGGTGATTGTGAAATTTTTTAAAAATCTGTGAGAAATGTGTCTGCTTCTCCTGCAAACTATGAGTATCCTCAAGGGCAGGAACCACATGTTATCCATCTCTTTATACTCACTGTGAGAGCACTAAGAACATGGCAGGCAGTTGGTGAGTGGGTGGGTGGGTGGATGGATAGTATAGATAGCAAAGAGAGAGGAAAGAGACAAAAGGGACATGGTCTCTGGCCCTGAAGCTCACAGTCTATCCATGGCCATAGGACCAGAGGCAAAACAACTGGTGATGGGATAGAGATGAAGGATGGCCTCGGGGGAGACAGAGCTGACAGGGCTTCCTGCCTGAATGGATGTGGGAGGAGGAGAACGGGTGATGTTTTCATTTTTTTTTAAGATTGGCACCTGAATTAACAACTGTTGCCAATCTTTTTTTTTTTCTTTCTGCCTTTTCTCCCCAAATCCCCCTAGAACATAGTTGTATATTTTAGTGTGGGTCCTTATGGCATGTGGGATGTCGCCTCAGCGTGGCCTGACGAGCGACGCCATGTCTGTGCCCAGGATCTGAACTGGTGAAACCCTGGGCCACCGCAGCAGAGTGCGCGAAATTAACCACTTGGCCACAGGGCCGGCCCCAGGTGATGGCTTCTAATATGAGTGCCTGGGAGAATGGTGGTATCCTCACCAAGATCCAGTAAAAGCAGGCTAGGGGAAAAGCGAGGTAAAGGGTGAGGAGACGATGAGCTGAGTTTGGCTGATATGGAATCTGAGGTGCCAAGGAGAAAGACATGTCTGCTAGACTAGGGAGAGGAAAAGATGGAGTTTTTCAGCCAAATGATAACAAAGGCTCTTTAACATCAGAAGGCCATGCTGACAGAGGATTGTCAGTAAGGCTGGATTCATGCTGACCTGCCCACACTAGGGGCCTGGGTCTCTGGGCAGCCAGTAGCATCAGGGTCCAAAGTGGTCAAATGGGTTTAGGGAAGGAAGCTGTAGCCATTGAGCAGACGGGCCACTCATAACAAAGAACAGCAAATCACTCAGCATGGCGGGTGGCGTCTACCTACCTCAGACAAACTCAGGAACAGAAAGCTTATTATAAGCCTATTCCCAGCTCCCGGGGGCCAGGGTAAGGAAGGAAATCAGCAAGGGCGATGGCCCCACTCCCTCCTCAGTCTCCTCACCTGCTTGTGCAGCCAGCCCCTTACCACCACCGGCACATTTGGGTTCCTCCGAATGGACTGGTCCCTCTTCCCAAAGCTGTGGACTTTATTGCTGGACTTTATGATCTACGAAAAAGCAGACTTGAACTCTAGCAGCAGGGGTGATGTAGGGAGGCACAACAAAGCACTTGTGTGACGGGAGGGCTGAGGCTCCCTGTGTCTCACTCTAAGCGGCAGCACCCTTTGATCAAAAGAACAAGGAGACAGGGAACAGGCATGCACATGGCCACAGCATTCTAATTAAAAGGCAAGTCCAAGACCTAGCAAGCTTCCCATCTGGGTCACAGAGAAAACAAATTAAAAGAATTTTTCAATCAACTCTCACCAGCAGCTGTTGGCCCTAATATGTCTTATGCCTTTTTGGAGCAAAGTTACTTCTTGGTCACAGATTTTGCCAATTTCCAGATTTTTACCCCTCCTATCTGGGTTCAGTCCTCAGCACTCTTCCGTTCTCTGCAATCTGGTTCTTTCCCCTGCTCCTCAGTCAGTGCTCCCACATCTTGGGTACAGACACCTCTGGGCCCTTCTCAAGGGCACCCTTCCTTGGGCCCATCTGTCATGAATGTCGCCAGGGGGTCTCTAACACACAGATGAACAGAGGTGTGGCCTTCCCAAGACACATGAGGAAAATGAAGAATGCATCCAAGGACCTTGATGTCAGTCCTGGTTCTGTCAGCAATCGCTTGTTTTCTTGAACAAGTGATATAACCCCAACTGGCCCAATTTCCTGATCTGTCATTTGGGGAGAATACTTCTTACATGTCTCCCTCACAAAATTATGGTGAAAGTCAAATGGGATCCTGGTTACAACGGGGTTTGGCAAAATATAAAAGAGGGGAGGGAAGGAACAAATGGCCAGGAGCTCACCTTGGGGCCAGGCTTGGCCTCCACGGTGGAAGTGGTCCCAGCAGTGGATGTCTCACTGACCATGCTGGACGGTCTTTGGTTTCTCTCTTGCTTCGACATATGTGGATTTGGCCTGTGGAGAGACATGGGGGAGTCCAGTGAATAAGTGCCAGACTGCTGTGGGAAGTGGAATATGAGATTTATTCCACGTTAGAACTAGTTGGTGGTTAGACAACCCAGGACCAATCTTTGGGAGACTATGTGACTCCAGACCACAGCCAGAGGGCCACGATGTCCAGTCTACTCTTGTACTTCAGGGAATCAAAAGGATGATAGATGGGTACATCTCCACAGCATGACACCCCACAAAGAGGTCAAGACAGTCATTCCTGTCTGCTGTCCTAAGGTCCCCACATTTACTCTCTTATTCAGGTGCCAGTGGCAACTGCCCCGCCAGATGGGAACAGTCAACACTCTTCAAAGCAAGAGCAATCCATACTCCTTACACACACGCACACCCACCCCTCCATTTCCCTGGCTCCCAAAAGAAGCTGTTTATAATTAGTAACAAGAAATCACTTGCGCACACATCCACACCCCCAGATACACACAGAGAATCGCTTACATAAATGCCAGTGGGGCTTGCCTCCCAAAATAGACTACTCAACAAAGAGTCCTATTCTAGGAACACTCCATTTGCCCCAAAATAGAGCCTTTGGAGATATTAACCCTTTGTGCCATGCCTGGAGAGCAGGAAGAAATGAAGCCTGCCTGGGTCCCCAATGAGGATCCCCTCAGTGCGTCCCCATCAGCATCCTGTGACATCAGGCTTCCCACCAAAAAGCTCCACCTGCCCCAGCAGGGCCAGCACTCTGCGAACGTGTCGGTACGGCACTCAGGCAACACTGTAGGGAGCCCTCCTCACCTGCCTCCACAGAGCCCCAGCATTTGCCTGAGGCTTTCAAAGCAGCGGCGGTGGCAAATGCCTCCACACAAATTCAATGCCTGTCCTTGAACAGCTCGACGCCCGACTCCCAGGCTCTGCCTACTCCAGGACCAGTAAACCTTCCTTGAAGTGTAAGTCCCAGCGTTCTGTAGCTGGGTTTTGTCCACTGCTCTGATGAGCAACAGGATTCAGGCAGCAGCAGTAAACTGAGATGGAGATGGAGGATCCAGGCAAGACACAGCTGAAGAAGCACTCTTGCTGTCCATCCACGAGGCTCACTTTTCCAAAGGTGCTACAAGGAAAAATCCTAATTTCCACCTTGGAGATATGCTGCTTCCTTCAAACATCACTGGGGCTCAAAGGATAAATGATTCTTCCTGTGCCCCAAGACAGAGCCGCGACACACTGTACCATTAGGGAAGTTCTCCGCAGAAGCAGCCGTGACCACCGTGCTCTCCAAGCTGTGCCAGCAGCTGGACCTCTGCAGCGGGCACCAGCTTTGCAAGGGGCTGGGCCCTGCTGGATGCTTGGCAGCTGGAGGTGCAAGACTCACCAGGCAGAAAGATTGCTGGCTCCTTATCAGCTCAGGCACTCGCTCCAGATTCCCCACCCCCGGCCTCCACCCAGCCAGACTTTTGTTATGGCTCCCCACTCAGAGAATGTCACCACACTCAGCCCGCTCATGTTGGCACAGGCTGTGTGCAGCACAGAGATAATCGGCGACCGGGGGTGGGCAGGGGCTCTGAGAGGCTGCCTTGTCCAGGCCCTGCCTCCTCCAGGCAGAACTATGTCCAAAACGACTTCCTGGAACCTGGTCTTGAGCCTGACTTTTCAGATTTCCAGAGGCTGAGACAAGGAAGAAGAGTTCCTTCACTTCAGTTACGGCAGCTGTAGCTCTAAGCTAAAACCAGGACACAAAGTCCAACAACAACAAAGGCTTGTTTGGTATTTTATCAAGTTTAATTCACTCCCATTTAAGATACTGATAGAAGCTTATTATAGAATATTTGAGAAATAAAAGAAAAAAAGCTGAAAGGAAAGAAAAAAATCACCCAGAGTCCTGCTATCCAAAGGAAAATCATTTTTCACACTTGGGATATTTACTTCCATTCTTTTTTATATGCCTGACTTTTGGGAGAGGTGGTGCTTTTTTGTTTTTATATAATTGCGATCATACTGTGTTTATGATTTTGCATCTTGATTTTAAACAACTTATTGTAATATAAACATTTTCTCTATTATTTTAAACTCATCCACGTCATTTTAAATGACTACATCACATTCCAACAACTTGATATGCCACTTCTCCTCTGTGGGACAAAGAAAAGACTATTTGGATTTGTGACTGGCCCAGGAAATCCAGGACGGATGGCCACTTTTGCCATTTCTGCACCTTACAATCTTGAGCTCTAACTTTAACCACCCCCCTGCATTCTGACCCCACATCCCCTCCCCACACTAGCTTCTGGGATGCTGGCTGGCCAGAGAGCACCTCTGGCCAACAGTACAGGAAGAAAGATGACTGCCTGTAGCCCTGGGTAGGTGAAGAAAGAGGGTACGAGCACCACCTAGGGAGCCAGCTGTGAAGAGATTTCCGCTGGAGGAGGACTGGTTATGGTCCTGACACTGAACACCAGTGAGGGACAGTGGCGGGGGTGGGGAGGGGAGGAGGAGGAAGAAACACAGGAAGACAACTTCATTCTTCATGACTACAGGGACCTCTGCTAAGCCACACCCAGAGAAAGCTGGCTTATCAGGGGATATGATTAAAGTCCAAATTAACCATGTTGTCTCCATAAACAGAAGCATGTCTTCACAGGGCTCCCCACAGGCAAGGACGTCTCCCAACTCAAGAACAGACTCAACCATTACCTGGCAGTCCCTGACTTGGCTCTTTAAAAGAACAAGACACACACAGCTACCCAGTCACTCAAGTAACAAGATCTGTCTTCGGAGGATGTTTCTCTGAATCTCCTCCACGTAGGTAATAATCTTGTAGGTCCTCCATGGGTAAATGTGACTTTTTGAATAACTAGAAATTATCCAGAATTACAACTAATGAAAAAAAATGGTGGTCATGCTTAGGACACCCTTTGGTATTCAAAAATGAGGATATGAAAAAAAAAGTGTCAAAAACGATTTCCTCACTTGGCTGTAGAGCTGGCTTTGATGGAAACTTCTAGAGGTCGTTTACCATACCATTTTGAGCAATGGGAACATCAATGGTGCATGTGTGTAGCCTCCGGAAGAGACAACACTGAAGGGATCATCACTCACTTGGATGTGCACATTCTGGAACATTTGAATCAGTTACATCTTACAGGCATGTCCCCACTTAAGAACTTAGAAGGGCTGACACTGATTTGTCCTCAACTCCTCAGACCGAGGTGCACTCCTGACAGCTTTCACCCAAGAACCTTCCCCCTCCCCCAGGGAGGAGCCTGTGCCTCTGAGCCGAGCAGCTGTGATAGGCAGTTCAGCTCTCAACAGCACACCCTCAGGCACATGAGTCACACAGATCCCGGGAGAGGAGACCAAAAAACCTGCACAGGCGAGAGGAAGGCAGACTCTTGGTGTCATTAAAGAAAATCTATTAACTTGAAAGCCTGTTTGCCAGGTTTCTGTGCTATCTGGATTCCCAAAGTACAGTGGGATGATTTGAACAAAGACTTCTCTTTCCTTGACTTGGGCTACATGAATACTGATCATTTTGCTGGAGGAGTGTGGGCTGAAGTTCAAAACAGTGAGCTAGACTTTTAACTCAATTGCTTCCTATGTGAAATGAACAAAAGAAGTTGAGACCAAACAAAAATCAGTCTAGAGAAGCCCAGTAGGAAAGTGACTTCATTCTACTCTGAACTTCCTCAAGGATGTGTCAGGTGAGCCTAGGCAGGAAGTCACCTTCTCTGTCCCTCAATTTCCCAATTTTTATTTATTTTATTGAAAATTGGCCCCTGAGCTAACCTCTGTTGCCAATCTTTTTTTTTTCTTCTTCTCCCGAAAGCCCCCCAGTACATAGTTGTATATTCTAGTTGAGAGTACCCCTGGTTCTGCTATGTGGGACGCCACCTCAGCATGGCTTGCTGAGTGGTGCCACGTCTGCACCCAGGATCCGAAGTGGCAAAACCCTGGGCCGCCAAAGCAGAGCACGCAAACTTAACCACTCGGCCATGGGGCCAGCCCAATTTCCGCATTTTTAAAAGAAGCTACTTCTGCTTCTGACATATCCAGGATCAAATGCATATGACACTGACAGATGTCGTAAGAAAGGGAGGTTATAAATTCAGAAGCCATTTTGTCTTTGTTGGGTCGGAATTTAGGCAAGTTTGGGTTAATGGGATCCTCAGCTGCCTCTTAGTCAACATCATGAACTGGAGCAGACAGAAGTGGGGTCACAGCAAGACCCTTCCCTACACTATCGTTGTCACAATAGGTATGTCACCAAGCCAAGTATCACTACCCCTTAGGGACAGGTACACAAGGCCTGGCAACCGGAGGGACTGGGCTGTACTTGTCCAGCACCTACTATGTGCCAGGCACTTTACCCACATTATCTCACTCAACCCTGGCAAAGCTAATTTTACCATCTCCATTTTGCAGATGAGGAAATTGAGGCTCAGAGAGATTAACGACTTGCCCAAGACAGAGCCTGGACTCCCAAACCCCGTACTTTGCCAGAGAGACACTGTCCCATGACAAGTCCCAAGGTCTGATACAAGCAGCCCCAAGGCCAACCCCCAAACCAAGAGGATCCTGGGGTGGTGGGAAGACCATGAGCCCAGAATAAGTGAGTCTCAACAGAGCTCTGCAGGTTACTGACTCTTCCGCAAGTCACATGACATCGCCAGGCCTCAGTTTCCATTTTTGCAAAATGGGGTGAAAACTACTCTCATCTCACAAGGTGCTTGTGTGGATTGAAATGACACTTTGAAAAGCATGAAGCATTGCACTAAATGAAAAGCACTGTTTGAGGCCACCAATGGAAACCCCAGAATTTAAATCTCAAATATACCTTATTTTATTTCCAAGAATTTCTCTCCAGAAAGCTCAAGGTACCAAACGATTAACTTCGAAACAATCATTTCCCAAAAACACCTTATCTGGGGATTCTTTAAAGTGTAGTAACCCTGTGGCTGGGGGACGGGGCTCCCATTCTTTCCCCAGGAGAATGATAATGTCAAGAGTCT